CCTCGGCCCCCTCCCCGCGCCGGCGCCCGGCTGCGCAGCGTCTCACCTGCAGGTGACCTGTTTAGTCCAGCCGCCGCCGCTGCCGTCGCTGCCGCCTCCCCCTCCCCCCGCCCCCGAGGACGGGGAGGTGACTGTGGGGATAGGGGTGGGGGAGGCCGCTGCCACCGCCGCCGCTGCCGCTCCTGCTCCTGATGTTGTGGCTGTTGTTCCGGGAGCTGCAGCCTCCGCCATTACTGTTTATCCCACACAGCAATGGCACCGGAACTTCCGGGATCACATAGTTCCGGTCCGGCTGCGGGAGAAAGCGGCGAGGCGAGGCGAGGGGAGGGGAGGGGAAGGAGACTGGGGCTCGGGCTCGCTCCTCTTGGCTTCGCGTAGGGTTTCCGAGCGCTCTAGCCGCTCGGACTGCGGGCTGGAGCCGCAGCGCCCGCGGCCCGCCCCTCGACCCCGGCGCCCAGCGTCCTGATTGGCGGATGAGAAGCCCCACCTGCGGGGGCGGGGCAGGGGCGGGGCCCCGCGAGCTGGGCCCACCCTCACTGCTCCCCCCGCCCCCCGACACACACACTGGGCGGCACATCTAGGGAACTTTATATTATAAAGTCCTCATTTCAAGCGTGCCAACCCAGAGGAATACCTGCTAGCAGAGGCTGATACAGTGCAGGGCGGGAATTGAGGACCTGGGTTGGACTTTCCCATTTACTGACTCTACCAATTGACCCGGTCAGCTGAGGGAACCGGGGATACATACCTATTCTCTCTGAGCCCGTTTCCTCATCTCCAATGGGATGATAGGCGGCCCTCCCTCACAGGGTTGCTGTGAGGATTATAGGACATGCAATCACTGAGGTTAGTGCCTGGTACATATTAAACACTTAATGTTCTCTTATTCCTCCAATCAGGGTGTCTTCTCTAAACCCAGGAGACTAGCATGGTACCAAACACAGGTTCTGGAGTCAGCTTGTCTCCCTCACCTCCCGGTTTCTCCCATTCCTGGCTATGTGCCTTTGAGCAAGCTAATTTACCTCTTAGTGATCGGGCTTTCTCTATCTGTAACAGTAAGGGTATATGGAAAACACTGTTCTTTCACACAATACTGAACAGATAGTAACATAAGGTGTCTGAAATATCCCAGCTTACAGTCATTTGTAAAACTGAAAATTAAAATGTATATAATCCTATTTCCCTATTAATGTCCACTGTCCTCTGACATGCTGCCTATTAAATTCTGATTTTCCGTAGGCAGTTTTTCTTCATAAGCCCTTGATTTGCTTTTCTTTAAGTCCACCTAAGAGTGAAAATCCTCCCCAGTGGCGATCAGACCAGGATGTACCTAACAGACACAAATAAGGACAGTGACAAAGCCAACAGAAAACAGTGTTTCTCCCAAGGCCACGCGATGGCTGCAAAAAGACTAACAATCCCTTTTTTTCAGTAAGTTTTAAAAATGTCTTCCCAGTCCCACTTCATTGCTCCCTCCAACCTCCCAAAGATCATTGAGATGCCCAGTTCCTAAACTTCCCTACCTCATGATGGTACCTAATCCGGGGCTGGTTCCTCTTCTGCTGGTCTCTCCCAAGCCAGCTTAGACCTTGTAAGGGGCCCCGCCCCTCCCTACTGCCCTTCCACGTTGCCCCCCTATTTCTTAGCTGCAGTCACCCCTGCTGCAGCAAGTTCATAAATTTAACTTCGTGGGACTACAGGTATAGTCCCAATAGTCTGAGTTTTACCTTACCGAGTAATACTGTGATTTTTAGTTCAATTTTTTTTTTAGAGATTTTTGTCAGAGCGAGAGCGCACAAGCAGGGTCAACAGTGGAGGGAGGGAGAAGCAGGATCCCTGCCAAACAGGGAGCCCGGATGTGGGGCTCAATCTCAGGGTCCTGGGATCATGACCTGAGCCAAACGCAGTTTCTTAACCACCTGAGCCACCCAATGTGATTTTTAAAAAGGCAAGTGAGGGAGGGGCACCTGGCTGGCTCACTAGAAAAGACAGCACTTGATCTACAGGTCCTGAGTTCCAGATTGAGTTAAAAATGGGGGAGGTAGGGGAAGCAAGCACTTCAAGAGGGTCACTTGGGCTCCTGTTCCCAGCTCAGTGCAGGAGTTTGCTTGTCCCTCTCTAAAATATTAAAGAAAAAAGGGCTACTTCAACTTAAAGCATTCCTCTATTTTAGGAAAATTCTCTTGTATGTTATGGATTCGTTTTGTGTCCATATTGCTGCCCTCACCCGGAAAGCACTGGCGCCCAGCTCAGAGCCCTCAGTGGTATCATGAGATCATGAAAGATCTGAGCCTCAGTAACACACCTGAAAAGGCCCTGGACATGAACTTCAGAATAATCCAGACCTGGTCCGAAGATGGGGGGAGGGATGGGACCCAGGGCTGTCCCCAAGGTCACATGTGCCCATCCAAGCTTAGTTCTGAATTTCTGATCTCCCTGCTCAACCCTTCAGCCAGAGCGAAGGTGTCTCTCTGCTCAAAGTCCTCCAAATAGGGTTTCAATCAGAGTAAGTCCTTGGCAATGAATGAAAAGAATTTTCTCATGTTATAAAAATTACTATGCCTTGGCTCACCATCCATACCAACAGGAATAATGATGTTTTGTTTCAGGAAACAAACTAGAGTCATCTGTTGATTCCTGGGAGGTAAGTTCAGCACAAGGGCAGTTCATGCATTTCTTCACTCCAGAAGTATTAGTGACTCTGCTATACCCCAAAAAGCCAGCTTCTTTATTGTAGGAGCCAAGAGCCTCCTGTGTGGTATGATGTGTGGGCACCAAGAACCTTCTCAGATTACGAATGCCTTCTTAGATGCCAAGGTCCAGATGGGGACAACCACAGGCTGGGGAGGACTCCCATGGGAACACTCACCCCACTCCACCTCCACTGACTGGGCATCAAAGCCAGTTTAAGAACCCTCGGCAGACACAAGGGAAGGAGAGAAAGGATTCCCAATGAAGGGCATGGTGGGCATTCTCCTTCACAATTTTGCGAAGAAAAGCTATAGCCAAGCTGTAGTCCGAGTATAGTGACCTTGTTTATTGAAACAAAAATGTTTCACAACCTGACAAAGAGGGTGCGCAGTGGACTGGTCAGGGAAACAGGAAGCTTGAAGTCAGGGCTGTGCAGAAGACCCAGGTGACCCAGGAATCAGAACTTCAGTCCCTGAACCTAGCTGTTTGACAGAGCAAGTTACTGCCCGTTTCCTCATCCGTGAAATACCTCCCTCGTTAAGTATTCAATGTGTTAATATACATAATGCTCCAAGGACAGTCGCTGGCCTTAGTAAGGGCTAGATAAGTATTTACTCGTTTCCACTGATGTTGGCACAGGCTGTTTTTGCTTGTTAAGATTTTGAAAACAGAGCACACATGCACAAGCAGGGGGAGGGGCAGAGGGAGGGGGAGAAGCAGAGCTGGATGAGGGCTCCATCTCAGGACCCTGAGATCATGACCTGAGTTGAAGGCAGATGCTTAACCAACTGAGCCACCCAGGCATCCGGCATAGGATATTAAAATAGTTTTGTCAAATTTAGCGAATAAAAATACAGGATGCCCAGTTATATCTGAATTTCACTAAAAAAAATATTTTTAGTAAGCTCTATGCCCAATGTGGGCATAGAACTCAGGACCCTGAGAGCAAGTTACATGCTCTAGGCGCTCCTACATCTGAATTTCGGATAAACAAACTGGTTTTTCATGTAAGTATATCCCCAGTATTGCATGGCTCAGGTCATGGTCCCAGGGTCCTGGGATGGGGCTCCCTGCTCGGCGGGAACCCTGCTTCTCCCTCCCACTCCCCCTGCTTGTGTTCCCTCTCCCGCTGTCTTTGTCAAGTAAATAAAATCTGTAAAAAAAAGAAAAAAGTGATTTCACTGTCTGAACTTCAAATATAATGCCTCCTCTGCTTTACCTGACTACCTTACGTTACAACCAGTTTTCATGATGCTGGCAGGCCAGGTTTGAGGACCTGGAGAGGGGGTCCCATGGGGCTAGCCAAGAGGGCCCTTACATTCATGTAGGGTGGAAATCAAATGTGAGCCAGAAGGAAGTGACAAGCAAAGTTTAGTGAATGAGACACGCAGGGACAGAGCATCTGAGAACTAGGAAAATAACATGGGTCTCTTCTTTGCTTAGGGTCTAGGGTTCTTATTGGCGGTTTTGCTGATGGACATGTCCTCTTAGGCATCCGGGAACTGGTCAGACTAAGGACAGGGTCCAGGTGTCCTTTGTTAGTTACTCAATCCCTGAAGCCAGGGGTCTTGGCAGCAAGGTGTTTGGAGTCAGAGGTCCTGGAGAATGTTTAGGGAGGGGTCACTCCCCAGGTATTATCGAATGTACAGGAGGAAACCTCCCAAGGATATCACTACCTCTTTGTCCCTTTCAAGGGGGAGGTATGCCATTTGCATTTACAAGGCATGTGTAGCGTGGGGCTGAGGGTGCAGGCCAAAGCAAGAATAGAAGTGGAAAAGGAGTTGGGGGCACCTGGGAGGCTCAGTAAATTAAGCCCCTGCCTTTGGCTTGGGTCATGATCCAGAGTCATCAGGCTCCCTGCTCAGTGGGGAGTCTGCTTCTCCCTCTGACCCTCACCCTGCTTATGCTCTCAAAGAAAGAAAAAGAAAGAAAGGCTGGAAAAGGAGCAAAAGGGGAAAAAAACTGGTTTTCTCCCCCATGGTCTCAAAAAACTTTCACGTACTTTGAGCCTCCCAACAGGCTTTTGCAGTAGGACAAGCACAGATGACCGTGCCTCTTTACTCTTTACATCTGTAAGATGAGGTGTAGACAGGAAGGGATACTATATACACAGGATCACACAGCAATCCCCGCCCCCCCCCCCGGAGTGACAGCAGGGCTTGAAGCTTGAGAAATTTGAGGTCTGGTGCTCCCTCCCCAGCATGTGCTGAAGTCAGGCCAGGCCCTGCCTTAAGGGAGTTTTTCATTTGAAAGGGGGACCTGCAGGGGCGCCTGGGTGGCTCAGTTGGTTAAGCGACTGCCTTCGGCTCAGGTCATGATCCTGGAGTCCCTGAATCGAGTCCCGCATCGGGCTCCCTGCTCTGCAGGGAGTCTGCTCCTCCCTCTGACCCTCCCCCCTCTCATGTGCTCTCTGTCTCTCTCATTGTCTCAAATAAATAAAATCTTTAAAAAAAAAAAAAAGGGGGACCTGTAGACCAGACACAATCATGCTTGTCCCTCTGTGCAGAGTGCTACAGAATTAAAGTATAAGACAGGCCTGGCATCCTGCCATGGCACCTTGGGAGTCTACACTGGGAAGAAGTTTAGTTTGTACTATGGCGCCAACTTTGAAAATTTTAGCCTGGCAGTAAACAGTGCTACTCTGTGCTATTTTTCTCAAAAGGGGATTTAAATTTAAAAAAAAAAAAAAGATTTTTTATTTGAGAGAGCACATGCAACCTAAGTCAGGGGAGGGTTAGAAGGAATCTC